TTTCAGCTTCAGAAAGGAAGTCAAACTACCACTACTAGAGGTACGAAGAGGAATTTTTACTCTAGTCTCGTCGAGTGACTCCTTAAGCTGAGACATCTGCTGGTCTGTTGGAGTATAAGAGTTGGGTTGATCAGATACCCACTCCAGTCGACCACAGGTTGTTGAAGGGATATGAAGTTGGTACTCTGAAGTGATCACTACCTGAGAGGTAGAGTATTCAAATAAGGTTTGTTGAGGGCATGAGAATAGTACCTTCAAGTTGCCTTCTTCAGCGACCGCCTTGCCTTTCGACTTGGGGTCCTGGTGCCTTGATGGAGTCGATTCGCCTTGTCTTTGCTCCCTCTGGGATTGAGCTTCCCCGAGGGAAACACCTCTGGTGACGGTTGATGGCTTCTGGAACTTGATGGTGAAGTCATCTTCATCATCGTCGTCGTCGTCACCATCTAGATCATCTCCGGTGTCTGGAATGACAGGTTCATCATCGTCTTCATCATCATCATCATCTTATCCACATCAACATCATCATCATCATCAGCAGCAGCAGCAGCAGTGATGGTATGAACATCATCCCTAGGGATGGCTTTGTCAACCTCAACGAGCAGCTTTGGTGGACGTGATTATAGGAGCAGCAACTGCTTCAGCTTCGAGAGCCTCGGCTTCAACTGCAACTGAAGCTGATACTGGACCAACAGCCTGAGAAGCTGTAGGAGCAGCATCTGATGATCCACCAGCATTGGACCTCATCTCCCCCTCTCTGGCTAAGACTTGAGAGAATTGGCCAGAGAGTTCGTCCAAGCGCTGTCGCTGAAGAACCATGGAATCCTCCAGCCTTTGCAAAGCATTGGTTAGAGTTGTCGTTGCCTCACGCGTCTCATGGAGCTGGGCGCGATCGTTGGCAGAGAATGAAGGTGCACTCACTAGAGCTGGTTGACGGACAGCATCCAGGATTTGCTGAAGAAGTCCAAGTTGCTGATCGACAATCGCATGCGCATCGTCAGCCCTGCTGTGAAGAACAACAATGGCATCGTTGTTGGCGTGAACAACTTCTTGGAGAGTCTGGAGCTGACTCTGAACTTCTTGAACGTCCGCCTGGAAGGCTAGTAAGTTCGCATCAAGATCGCCTTGGCAGGGCATCTCTTGGTGAACTTTGTTGACCTTGGAGAGGACGGTATCAACGGCTGGAAGGAGAAGTTTGATGTCTGATGCCATGTCATAGTCATCATCGACATCCTCATCTCTTCCACCATCTTTCTCTCTTTCTTCCTCTTCCACTTCTTGAGCATCAGGCTGATGCATCAAAGAAGGACCTGTAAAAGAAGAAGTGTGAGCTAAAGGCTTAAGGTTAGAAGAAATGAAGGGGTAGGAAGATGGAATACCTGAGGGGCCTTCAGTGACATCAAAAGGAGTGTCATTGATGGGAGCAAAGATGTCCTCGAGAAGATGGACAATCGTATGCTGAGGAGCATCGAGAGGAGCAGCCTCAGGTCCTGTGGTGCGTGTCTCAGTATCAGGAAGGACAGTCGCTGATACATCATCGACATGTGTAAAGACCAAGGAGGGAGGAGAAGAGAAAATGGTTGAGAAAAGACGTGGGTGTTCAGCGGTGG